TCATCGTTCGCATCCCCATAACAGCACATGCGTTGAGTATTGGTTGCGCCAGCCACCTGCGCCCTCCCCCATCTCCAGCCTTCTTGACATTGTCTTGACAACCGGGCCCCGGCGTGGGAGTGGTAAGAGAGTGGGGTAGATTCTGCGCGACTCTACATTCACTTTGATCGAGAAGAAAAAGACTCGATCGCTATGACTATATGTTTATTCGCCTGACGTTTCGACATCCGTCGCGGATTCATCATCAGAGTTTTATTCGCCTGACGTTTCGACATCCGTCGCGGATTCATCATCAGAGACATGAGCATGAAACAATGGCAGAAACGGGTCATACACTTTTATCCCGCGGGAGCCACCGCCTTACTCCAGCCTGCTGAAGCGCATGGTGAACATCGTCGAAATCGATGGTCGTAATGTCAGGACTGCTAGCAAGTGCGTATGCACTAGCCTGCCTACGCCAATCCAATCTGGCCAATCAGCTTCCTGTGGCTGATTCACATAGGACCGCACTGCGACGACTGCCAGGCTCACACATTTTGGATGCCGGCCTGAGTCGATTGGTTTTGGACTCGTCCGACGCTCAGCCTCCTCAAACATATGCTCCATTATCTCTGTACAGAATACACTATTCCTCCTACCTGTAGTCTCACTTCTTCTCTTCCCGCAAGACCCTGGGTCAGCATTTAGCACTGGCTAAGGCCTTACCTATCAATTTAACTAACTGCGATAAGAGCGCCACCATACGAGATGAACGGTCCACTTAGCTTGCTTCCTATCGCTCATGACCTAGTTGGGAGTTTAAAAAAATATAAAGCTTATTCCGTCGTAAGCAATTCCACGCTTTGGTAATGGAAAGGATCCATTTGTTTTCATCGAGACGATTGCGCATATTTCTCTAGCATCCGCGGTCTGCTAACCGTTAAGATTGGAGTTTAATTACAATTAATTTCGGCCTCATCGACTATCAGCTCCGGTTTTGAGTTCTTTTTGCTAGAGTGGATGTAACATACACCTACACTCCCAGTTTAGCATCGCTGGGAGATCCTGGCTCCGCATTTGAACAGTCGGTTGAAGTCTACCAGTCACAACGACATAGTTTTTTTTCCCATGGTTTTCGGTCGAACTGTAGAAAATCGTTTCCTCCCTTTCGTTGGAATCAATTACCAGATCCACGTAAGAGAAGAAAGAGATAAGGATATCAACCCTGGCGTCGCGAAGCTCACGCCACTTCAGTGCATTCCGCTTGCGTCATAAGCCTGACGTGGTCTGAAAGTGTCGGCGTGCGCTAAAACGTCGGGACTTGGAAAGCTGCCACCGTCTGACGCTATAAACTAACCTTTCTGGTAGATCCTTTGTATAGTTCGGGTTTGTTTTGCGTGATGGGAATTTGCTGGACTATCATAGTGGACAGATTAGGTCACCAATCGAGGAGAATATCCGAGTTCCAGAAAGCGGTTCAGAAGAAGAAGAAGCGATCACTGGAACAAAAGTTTTATTGTCCTGACGTTTCGGA